TTCGCTGTCGTCCCTCTAATTGTCTGCACCTGCGCTTGGGTTCAGAAGCCTGTTAAAGCGCAGTATTTTCAGAGCCCCAAGACCATAACGTTCCAAGAGGCTGATTGGCCATTAAATTCTCCTAGCAAAAGTACATGATTGACAGATTCTCTGCAAATGTGGGTCAGTCTGATCACAGCCCCCAGAACAGAGACGGTAGGAGTCTGTCTGTGGAAATCCACAAATTAATGACAGTAGGTAGGGAAATGTAGTTTATATAATTTGTTTTGCTTATAGGTACACACTCTAGAGAGGAAAACTGACATTTATGAGTTAATTTCTAAAAATATATTTTACGTTTCTCTCTTCTTACCAGGGAGGGCGGTGCCCCAGCGCCCCCTATGGGCCGGCCGCCACTGCTAGGAACCCCTAATAAACCTGCAGATTTAGAGTGAAGTGCTCGATTAGGAACATAAGGAACAGTCAGGTTATTCATATAAGACGGAGCTTGGATATTTAGGGCTTTATATGTGAGGGGTAGATGAAAGACACACGTCCTGCCAGATGTCTTATCTTTCGGTCTGTCTAAATCTGTTCTCGCTGCAGTTTGTGGAAGGGTCCTTTGAGAAGTACTTGGAACGTTTGGAAGATCCAAAGGTGAGTTCCCAGGCCTCTGTCACACGTAAACCCTGTATTAGATGAGCTCAGTGTGTGTGGGGGGGTTTGTGTTTGCAGGAGACGGTGGGTCAGGTGGAGATCAAGGCTCTCTCTCAGCTCTACAGGTGAGGACCAGTCTCATGAGTAAAGCAAATCACATGGTTCCAGCCTATTCAAGGTAACCTTTTGTCTTTGACCTCCAGGCGGTGCTTCCTGATCTATCGTTACCCCGGGAAACCAGCTACGGTCATCTCGGAGAACGACTTTGTGGATAAGGTGAGAGCGCTGAGGAAACGCTTTCAGACTGGCCACTAGTTGGCTGCCGTTGACACCAGTTTCCTGTGTTGCCTTGCCTAGGTAACCCTGTGCTGCTCCATCAATGGTCACTATGATATAATCTATGGGAGGAGCTACCCAGCTTCAGCAGCGCTCTGCCAGTGTGAGTGGGTGTGGCAGGGGGGTGAGTCAGAGATGATTCCGGGGGTGTATCTACCTGCTCAGGTGTGTGTCTGTGTGCAGCTCTACTCTACGAGCTCCTCTACACTCGGGTATTTGGTGTGGAGGGGGCGGAGCTCTGCCAGGCCATGGAGGCCTTTAGGGCAGGAGGGCGTCGGTATAGAAACAGCCCATCTGTCTGCAGTGACGTTGATGTAGGCTACGACGCACCGGAGGACCGAGCGCACAGGTGACGATACATTACACCTCCGGCTTTCTGACTGGATCCCTGTGGTTATGTGATTTCAGCATGTGTTGGTTTTACCTGCAGAGAGGACGTGGAGGCGGGGGGAGCGGCAGAGGAGGGCAAGGTAAGAATTGGCCGGCAATGGACTCTGACCGCAGGAAGCATTAGCAGAGATCAGCTGATTGAGTTCTCTTTAAGAACTGTGAAGTTATGTTGATGCTTGTTCTCTGTAGTTATACTGGTTTCCATGACTGGAAGTACATACACTATATTGCCAAAAGTATTTGCTCACCCATCCAAATTATTGGAATCAGGTGTTCCAATCA